TCTAATTATTTTAGTGTATTTTTAGTCACCTAATTATAAAGGAGAGATATCCAACCATTGCATTATTTTACTCACAAATAAATGTTTTATGGTTTTTTATTATAAAACAATGATTAATTTATTATACACCCCTTAACCCAAACACTCCAAGGAGGATATTTCGTGACCCCTTATTTAAAGTGGACAAACTTTATTAGTCAATGTTTTAATTACCCAGCGCCTTTAATAAAAATCTAATGTAATTTTTCATAGAAATGATCTGACATAAAAAGCAAATTTTATCCAAAAAACTTTTTGATTATCTACAAGGAGTAAACCGCTGACAAATGTATGTATACTAATGCCAAAGTAATGCCAAAAATACAAATTAAATACCAAAATTTCTCATATAATGCCCCACTAATGCCAAGCTGATTCCAATATAATACCACTAATACCACGAATAATATGTAACACATTTGTTTAGCGAATTAACCTGTAACAATAGTGGTAGGTACGTGCACAGATTTTTTCCTAGGTAACTTAAAAGTCGTTAAAAAGTCTAATTATATTTAAAGAAGATATAATTCCAACTAATTGCATTATAAGGCCAATAATGCACAAATAATACCATTAAAATTTTAGCGTTTTTAATTTGTGTAACATATTTCTTTAAAAAATTAACCTGTAACAATAGTGGTAGGTACGCGCACAGATTTTTTCGCTAGGTAACTTATTAAGTCGTTAAACAGGCCTATAAAAGCTATAACAACATAGGTAACTAATATTTATAATTTCATTCGAGTATTCTCAAATAATAAATGTTTTTACTGGTGTATTTCTGAAGTGTTCATTATTAAAAGTAGATATTCTTCAAGTTATGTGAAGTAATAAGTAATGTTTCCGGTGAGACCGCGTATATGTCACCGGATTCTGGTTAGTATAAAGACTTTTTCTATAGAAAGAGTTTTTTCTATATTTTCCTTTCAAAATAAGACTAATTTCTTCTTATTCTTTTAAATATTACAGTGTTTCTTTTTCCTAAAATGTTATACTTAATTTTCGCTTAAAATTAAAAAATCACCAAATGGAGGAAAATATACGTTATTGAATAAAGTTTATACAAATCACTTTACCATAACAAAAAAGTTAAAACATGTCATGGCGGAAGATATTCAGGTGGCATTTCACATATTTATCTATTAAAATCGAGATTAAAATAATAAACTTGCGTAACATGTCATAAATGATATAAAAAGTTTCAGAATCGATTAATACGCAATACGCTACGCAGTCAACTTGTTCCTATGCGCGGATGAGCGTCTTGAAGACTCTTCCATCGGCCAGGATCACGACGCCGCGCGCCGCCGAAGAGGAATCGGCCTACGTTTGGCTAAACAGGCTGGACACATTGGACTACGATATTGGCGAGTCTGAATATTTATAAAAATTTGCAAAGTAAAATATGTTGGAAAAATAATTAGTCCATACATATATAAAAGCTCAAAGGGTTTTTTTGTTGCATCCATCCCGCCGAAACCGCTTCACCAATCTTGATGATTCTTTTTTTAAATGAAAGGTATATATGTGTAGATTTGTTATGAAGTATTTTTATAGTACTTAATGGCTATTTCTTTGTGTAAAACGACTAAATTACTAAAACATACCTGAAAAACACCTACACACAATACCTCCAGAAATAAATTATTTGTCATTGTCAGTCGTGTGTCAGTTAGATTATATATTAAGTTTTTAGATATTTTAGGAGTGAGTTCATACCGCCAGCTCTAGATACATAAATATTAGCACAAACGTTCATTTAAACGACATTAGTGGATTAGCTACACAAAGCGATTTTAGGAAATTCATCCTCTTAGAGAGTAAAATTATGTCGGAACTGTTTGTTGTATGAAAATTCCTTACTATTTGGTCTAGAAGAATGAAATCCTACAAAAAGAATTAGAAGAAATTTTTGAAATTCATCAACCAAATGGGTAAAGTTAGTAAAATTTATATAAAACTTGGTGACCTCTGGATTATACACATAAAAATTGGCACAAAGATAAAGCGAATTTATGAAATTTATACACTTAGGGAGTAGAATAGGTAACTATAGAATGAAAGTTTGCTGTACGAAAATGCAATACTATAACATTATAAACCAGACAGTATAAAATTTTATACAAGGGTTGATTTAGTGACATCATAACGAAATATATCTTCCTCAATTATCCTTCAAAGAATAAAAAATTACCTATAAAGAGAGTATTAGTGCTCTTAATAAATAAAAAGAAGATGAAAAATAAAAAACATCTATGCTCACTAGCTCTCTATAAATTAGTAAAAATCATTTAAATTAATGCATGAACGATTCGAGGTGTAACGCGAACGTAGTCGCGGGAAAAAAGCTAGTAATTTATTAAATTATTTTATTTAACTGATTAATTTTCATTGAAAAGGAATTTTTGTAATTCGCCACTATATCAGTTAAAAACTAAGAAACTCATATCAAATTTAAGTTTTGCGATTTTGACTTATACTTTTTACAAAATCTGAACACATTTTAAAAGAAAAAAAGCTTTTGATAATATTTGTGTAGATTGACTACAAGTTGTATAACATAAATTACTACGACCGGTCTACCTAGTGGTCTGCAGCATCGCCTTGTGGTGCAAACGTGGGCCTGTTAATCTGTGACGTGACGCACAACAGCCAAGAAAAACAGAAGCGTGGCTAAGAATTTAGTAATTTAAAAAAAATGTCTTTTAGATACAGTAGTAGGTATTAAAAAGTTTTGTGTTTAAATGGGGTTTGCCTTTAACAGTTAAAAAATTATATCGTAAAGTGCAACTTTCCGTAAGAATTCTTTATCTGTCATCGATCATAATCTGTCATCATGTTAACCTGATGTTTTGTATGTTATTTTGTTTTTTTTTGCTTGTTTGTTTTACGGATAGGTGCGATCGCATAATTATTATTGATAATGTTTTATTTAATGTTAACATTACTACTTTTTCAGTGAATCTTTAAATCTGTTGTTTTTGTTAAGTTCGTTATTTAAACATATGTATGTAATACACTCATATTAACACTAATCATATTTTTACGTTTTTATTCATCATTTTCAATGCCCCCCCGGTTGCATCTTTGTAAAGGACTGTGAATTTTTTGTAAAGCTTATTGTTAACTATACCGCATAAAAAATCTAAAATGGATAGGTCAGGTGATCGAGGAGGCCCATACAATTGGTCCACCTCTTCCTATCCCTGAGTTTACATAATTATGATATAAATAATTTTTAACATTTCTTTTATTATGGGGGGGGGATCATAATGAAAGTAATGTTGGAACCGTTTTTCTTCATTTGAAAAATTCATATTTACAATTTTTGTTTATTTTAATTTACAAAGTTTGGATGTGACAGCTTCATATTTCTGAGAACAACGGCGATTGAACTTGTTTCCATGGCTATCTAAGTGAAATTGTTTAAAAATGATAAGAACTGGCTTATAACTGGTTATATCGCTAAAAAGCTTAAAAAATGGCGCTTTTTATGAAGTCATAGCCAACTATGGTTTCCATTTAAAAAAACATATGTTTGCATCATATGTCAAAAATGAATGGCTTTAGAAAAAAGCGGAGGACACAATCTCATTAAGGATGTGATTATCTCCAACTTTTATCTGAAAACTTTTTGTCAAAAATGGGTTATAATGGAATTAGGGACAATTTTTAAAATAGCCGAAATTTGTTTTTTTCGCAATATCTAGTAAGCCATAAACTTTTTTAAAAATCTGAAAGGCGCATATTTATGACACCACAAAACTGCAATTCTTTCCTCATTTAACCGACTCTCTATCTCCAGTAGTTTCCGAGATACCCATAGAGAACATCGTAGGTAACTCACCCTGTATATAAACAGTTATTAGATACATCAACAAAACTCACCTCTTTAACAGCACTTAAGGAACATAAAGGGCCATTACACCCGATTTCCCGTTCGAAATATTCTACTAAAGTTGCAATGATTTTTTACGGCTATTAAGCTCCCTTGTACACTTCGCACTAAAAGAGGTTTTAAAAAACAATGTTCGACTGCAAGGTATGCTAGTAAAATAATTTAAGCTTAAAGTATTACAACACAATTCATTTAAATCAAAAACTCGTAATACAATATAAAGTATCAAAACGAATGACGAATGACAAGAAATAAATAAATAAATGTGGCAAATTGACATTTTTTTACAGCAGAGCTAACACCTGAATCCCCAGCGGGAAATTTAAATTCCAGTTAGTCAGCCCGGCGCGGAATATATCCATGGTTGGCAACAATGAATTTAAAAATCGCGCCGTCAATTACATAACTAAAAGTTTAATTAGTATTGCTTATACAGGGTGTCCCAGAAATGAGTGCAAATATTATAAGGGATGGTAGATCTGGTCAAAAGAAACATATTTTCTCTTTACCATTTTTAAAATAAATTGAAAATAACCGAGTTATTTCACTTTAAAAGTTTTAAAAATAAATTGCCACATTTTGAGAGCCGCCGGGGGAAATCGGCAATTTCCCGGATCTCGCCTTATTCGCCGCCCGCTGTTGCCGCGACTAGTAAGTCTTAAAAACTACTTGCAAAATTCCATAACACTAAGTGGATGATCGCCAGTAGCCATTCTTCCCACATTTCCCAAATTAAATTAAAAGAAAAAAAACTTACCAAACATTAAAAAATATCCCAATAGAAGATCGATATAATTGCAAAGCTTTCTTTTTTTTCATTTTACCAGTCCTAAAACTGTCCTTAACACTACACTTAACTTCACTACAATTCTTAACAACACTAGAACTTTGATGCCACCTGAGGATCCAAACTTCCAAAATCCCTGAAATACTAAACCATACTCACAGCTCACAGAGTTTACACTTGATAACGGTAAGCGATCCTTCTGACCGAAATATTGGGTTAATCAAAATAAAGAAAGACAATGGAAGTCCGAAATTCTTTTACTTTCAATATACTCACCTATACACGTATGACCATATTTGTGACAACCGTGCAGTAAAGACATTTGTGGTAGCATCTCTATTTTTGTACGAAATGATACGAACTCGCTGTCCACGACCTAAAAATATAATTTATATGTCTATACACTCCACCGTAAGAAAGTTATTGGCATTTATTAATTGTGGAAACCTGTTCCACAAATATTATAATTTTAGAATGTGTATTTGTGCTACCACAAATACCTTGCACCATAAAAGTGTGTAATATAGGTACCACAAATATACAAATTTCAACTTCCTGTGAAAAGGACTCCACAACTATTGTCGAATGTGAGTAATTATCAATTAACCTTTTAATATAAAATTTTTAGTAATTTCCGTGTAGCTACGCTGATTCAGAATTAGTGTTTGTGGATGCTACATATTGCTATTTGGAATCAATATTTTCGTTCAAGCAGCTATATTATATTATCACATATTTACCGAAAAAAAATCGTAACGTACCATACGATCGAAAAAGAAAAATTGCGGTGTCAAAGACGGCTGGGGAATGACAATCAATAATTATTATTATGAGCGAGGTCAAGCCCTAGATCTCCATTTACTTGGCCCGTACTATTCTCTATTTTTTCATGGCGCTTACTGCCAATTGACTTTAAGAACGTTGTAATTTATTTTTATATTAGTAAAAATTATTTTTTAATAATGTAATTTAAAATTCGAGAAAAAATACTTTTTGGAAGTAGACTTGTGAGTCTGGAAACATTCAATCATTTTTTTAGATGTTAGAAAATTAGTATTAATTTTTGATAAGTTTTATGTCAATTTTTAGAAACTGGCGTCTAGAGATTGACCTCGCCGAAACTAGCAACTATTATCATTCCCCAGGCGTCTATGACGCCGTTTCTTTTTCGATCAAACGGTATTTCTAACCCATTGTTCACAAATATTTAGCCAATACAACTAACGATATAAAAAAAACTTTCACTCAGTGTAAGTAGGGTTTCCAATTATTTAAAATCCCGGAATAAGAACCTATAATCTCGGAACCGCGGGGATCAGAATGAAATTTAATCTAAAGAAATATTTAATAAAAATGCAGCTACATAATATATCAAAAAAGAAAATGAGGAAGAGCTTTATTAAAATAGAATAAACAAAGTAATTTTCCATATGTAGTTAGTAAAAAAATAAAATTCTTGTTGCAAAAAATAATATAGCAAACACGGAAATATAACACTTAGATATTGACGTTCGGCTTACAACGCTTTCAGATGGAGCGGACCGTCCGCGCGTATGTTTTTTCAAGATAGCTCATCCGGACGGAACATATGCGATCCATGTGAAATTATGTTCATTTAAATTCATGGAACTGGTGGACGGTCCGCGCGGACGCTCCGCTCCATCTGAAAGCCCTGTAATGGAACTCGCGGACGGTACGCGCGGACGCGACGCTTCGCTCTATCTGAAAACGCTGTAACAGCTCTTTCAGGACTCAGCGCGACCGTACGCGCGGAGCGTCCGCACGGATATTTTTTAAGATAAGATAGCCGTCGACGATCTCATCCGGACGGAGCATACGCGCGACCCATGTAAAACTGTTCATTTGAACTAGTGGAACACGCGGACGGTACGCGCGGACGCTCCGCTCCATTTAAAAGCGCTGTTAGTATAAATAAAATATGATATTTGAAAGACTAACTCGAATCATTTTAGATTGGGCATTAACATTTTTCGACATTTTTGGAATCCTGGGATTTAATATCGGTATTTCGAGGATAAATATGCACCGGGCACCCGGTTTGGTAACCCTAAGCGACCGACTATCATATCATTTAGAATATGTTCGGGATTTTCCTCTCGGTACATTTTAATATGTTATGGTAATAATATATAACTAATATACAGTATGTCTCCGGATTGTCTTTACAAGAGGAAAAACATATTTATTATTAATATTTTGAGAAAAATGCATTCTTAATAAAACATTTTGCTTGTTCTAAAATGGTTAATCCCGTTTGAAAATGATAAACATGAAAATATCGTTGATTTTTTCTAAGCCCTAAAAATGAAACCGAGTTTTTATGGTAATATAATCACAAGATTAAACGAACTTACCTGAAGTGAAGTTCAATCTTGATTATATGAAGGTCTCGTCGAAATAAATAAGTACAATGTAGTTCCCTTTTCTCCGTGCGGCGACCACACATTTTAAAGCCTAAACAAACAAATTTCAACATGCCCCTCGCTTCCCTGCTACCTTACCTCATTATATGCCCTTGCATCATTTCTTATTTAGTCAATTTAAAGATACTTATTATGTTGTAAATTGAGGTTGAGGGTGGGAGGAACTTATTTATTTCGACGAGACCTTCATATAATCAAGATTGAACTTCACTTCAGGTAAGTTCGTTTCTTTAATCTTTTCTGTGATTATATATGTCTCGTCTCCATAAATAAGTACAATGTAGATTTTTTAAAGTAATAACAACAACATAATCTTTTCTCCCATTTCTATATTGAAAATATATAAAGATTAATTTCTCAACAAAACTATTCTCATTATCCATCAAGGATCTATTGTAAACAGTAGCGACATTCTAGAATTTTTAGACCAACCAGCAGCGAGTCTGATGGTATCAAAATTTAACCCTTTCCTGGCAGCTGCTGAAGTTACAGCATGCCGTGTACTATGAGCGGTAAAATGATCCGTATCAATCCTACTCTTATTTAGGACAATTTTAATCCAGCTCCCCAAGGTTTGAGTGGATGTTTTCTTATGCGGTTTCTTGATTGTTACGAAAACAGAAGTTATACTTCCTCTAATGCTCTCTGTTCGTTTTAGATACTCTACTAACGTGCTAGCTACGCATAAATTAGCGTCTTTCTTGAAATAAGGTAAGCGTAAAAAGGGTTGCGGCTTATTTCTACCGAATGTTTTTAATCTTGCGCTAATTTTTATATGTATTTCCCCTAACTTCCGAAAAATTTCCCTTATATCAATAAGCGATAGTGTTTGTAAACGTTGACCCGATGCTAAGGCCAGTAATGTCACTAATTTATGCGTAAGCCCCTCCAAGGTTAACTCATAATTATTTTTTATTTTTAAATAATTAAGTACTACGTACGTAGGATCCCAGGTATTTTCGGACTTGGGCTTATTAGGTCTCAACATATATATTCCCTTAAAAAACCTTTGCATACGAAAATCTTGTAAGAGGTCTGGGCCCGCTATCTGTGCTATGGCTGCTCTATAAGAACTTAATGAGCTAAAAGATGCGCCTTCGTTAAAGAGTTGAGTCAAAATATTAGAACGTTGGAACCCGAAACCGAGAAGGGATCTAAGTTCTTAACGCTACAAAATTCCCACCATTATTTAAGCCCTGAGTTAGACTGTTTTAAGGTGTTACTTGTTATTGAAGACATGCAAATTTCCAGCGCTTCTTCTGGAACATTCCCTAAGAGCAAGGCTTGCCTGATAGCCGGACCTCCCGTCAGAGAAAGATGTTGGCTAACGGGTGGGGAGATCCGCTAAAAGAAGTAAATATTTATTAATTTAAAAAAATAATCGGCTCATCTATTAACATCGCCCTTAAAACCGAATACCAAGGTTGCGAAACCCAGTTGGGTACAACCATTATACCTTCTGCCTGATCAGAAATAATTTTTTTTCTTTTTGCAGAGCCTTTGGGACCATTGAAAATGGAGGGAAAGCAAAAAATAAAATGTTTCCCAGTTTGTTGTAAAGGCATCAATGGCGTACATATCTGGGTCCCTGTGCCACGATATGTATTTCTTGCATTTAGCATTTATATGCGTAGCAAACAAATCTATTTCCGGTAAACCCCACTTATAGTGACCAATTTCCCAAATGCCCAGCTCGCTAAACTCCATTCTGTCTCGACCTTAAATTCCCTGGAAGCCCTGTCAGCTTCCTTATTCTCTTGAGATCTAATATAAGAGGCTACGATAAATAATCTCCTTTCCTCACACCATTGCCAAATTATTCGAGGGATATTGTTTAACTTGGAAATTGAACACATTATGTTCTATGTAATATAGGTATATGCCAGTGCAGTAACACTACTGCACTGGCATATAGGGTAGACAACACTGTCTACCTTGCACAAGCTAGAAACGTTAGATAAGTCATTAGCAAAGCCTTTCAAGCCAAAATAAACAGCTTGTAACTCCCTAAAATTTATGTGTTCTTCTCATTCGTAGGTAGGCCAGAGACCTTGAGAACTTATGTTATTGCAACAAACACCCCATCCAATATCTGATGCGTCAGAGAATATTTCCATAGAGTATTTACTATATGATAATAAGTTTTTGCTAATAGGTATGTTTCGAATCCACCAATCGGTATCAACACATAACTTCTTAGAAATTTTCATAGTTCCGTTATAATTTCCTTTATTACTCTTTAACGCTAAATTTTTTTCTCTCTCGAAACAATTTGGTATATAAATAACCGTACTTATGGCTGGACATATGGATATCAACTTCCCTGTTAGCCTTACAAACTCCCTTGTAGTGCATTTCTTCCATCTTAAAAACTTTTTTAAATGCAAAATTATTTTTGTGATTTTTTCCTCTTGAACAGAAATAGTCATATCCATAGAGTTTAATTTAAACCCCAAAAACGTCACAATTTTTTGTGGAGATAATACTCTTTTTATAGTTTACAATAAACCCCATATTCGAGTAGTCCAATTGTTTCTAATACATTTGCTAAACATGCATCATAAGAATCTCCTAGTAATTAAAAATCATCTAAATAAACAACTGAAACGTGAATATCTCTGTAATAAACTGATTTTTACATGGCTGTGCCTTAGAAATAGCCCCTATACTAAGCAATCTCCGAACGTTGCCCTCAATTGTCTTATGTTGTTGCACCGACCATTTATGTCTACCTGAGATTATGTTATGTGATGGTCTCGTCACAAACGGAATTTTAAAACCTTGCAACCATGCCATAATACATCTATTATCCCTATACATCTTCCCTGAGAACGCGACCTTACGCCGAAGTGTTGTATTCGGTTCCAGGTCCGCCTTTGACGTGGGCGGTTGTAGGAAGTTTCTCGAACATTGAGTCTGTCCCGTTTCCCTCCCTGCTGATGTTGAGGCAGACTTTTGAAGTTTAAATGCGGCGTGGACCGAGATCTGGCTGCATTTGATACGATTCTTCCTGGAGTACTTCTGACAGTCTTTAACTGACTGGATGACAGTTAAAGGCGGACAACTCTTT